CATGAAAATACTTTAATCAGTAAAAGTTACAATGTATTAATATTATTAATATTGAAATATGCAAAACTGTAAGGTTTAAAGTGTTAAGCATTTCTGCTGAATTTGCCTTTTCTTTCGTTTTTGATTCTGATCGGGTTTAATTAATTTTTGACTCCACAAAATTAGCCATTAAATTGTATACAATTAACAAGCTATTTACATTTGATTGTGGCTCTAAATTAATGATTAAAAGTTTGATTTTTTTTCTTGAATTTAATGACAAGCTCTCTATGAAATACAATAGTTAATTATAAATTGAAATGTTAAGCTTTTTGTCTCACCATTTCAACAATTAATTTACACAGAAGACACACAAAAAAACATTCAATTGATTAACAGTTTTGCTTGTGCAAATATTTAGCTAATTCAATAGTTTTCAACAATTAATGATCAAAGTGAAGAGTAGAGTTCAATTAAGTCAACCATCTTGATTAATCTTTAATCATGATTTACAGGGAAAAGGTTTACTCTCATATCAGTACACATTGAAACCTAATACTCTTAACTTTTACCTGTTATTATTATATCATTATTATTGTTAGTTGAAGGTCTACATTATTAAGTCTAGTGATTATTTACAAAACAACAACAATAATCTGGATTGAGAATTTGCTCAGCAAAATTGAATCAATTGTCTATTCATCATCAGTAAGATGAAACATTATTAGAAGTAAACAATTTTGGGAAAATGATCAGTAATTTGATTGGAAGCAAAACAGGAATCTGAAAAACAGGAAAAACAGTTTATTTTGTAATAACTTTCAATTCTCAAGGTATGATAATTATAAGTTTATTTAGCAATCAACAATTATTATATTATAATATGATCAAAGTGTTTCAATATTAATAAGCATTCATTTGTTTGCAAAATGCTTTTAAAGTGGTTTCATTTTTCATCCCAGTTGGACAACAAATGGATATTTTACAATTCATAATTTGTAGTCGAATCGTCTGTTGATATCATTTCACAAATGAACTTATACCATGTCTTCCCACAAGGCAAGTGTCTCAGGTGACAAGATTTTTTCGATCTTTTTTTCGCTTTTTATTGTAGAGATTGAAAAATGAAGAGAAACATATTCTGACTTTTTATTAGCGAGTGCGTCTTTTATTACATCGTAGGATTTTTTAGTAAAGTTAGTAAAGTATTTCAGAAATTTCATCTTGAATACATTCATGGAATCAACATGGGTTGGTGATAATGCTTTTTTCCATGAGAAAGGAACCATTTTGCGAACTATAAGACGAGAAGAATAAACCATCTTGAAGGTTTCCATGAAAAGTTGAACAATTCAAAGCTGCTGATCCTAATTCACATTCATTGATTAATCAATTGAGATGATTCGAAATGTCATACCGGATCGAATTGGTCAAAGTACAAAACAGGTAATTCATGTACAATATAATGAGTTATTCATCAAAAAAGGAACAAGGCAACCGTCACAACTGGTAAATCGATATCAAGATTTGTTTAAGACCAATATAATGGAATTAGCCGCCAAATTTTCCATCGCGACATTTTATCGACTTTTTCTAGAAAAATTCGTATGTTCTTCTATTGGGATTTGTAAGTTCATTTTTTCATTTGTGAAATGTTGAAACAGAAACATGAGCTTTTTATTGCACAACAAGAGCATTCATTAGGTGTATCTATTAATAAAACGAATACAAATCCCCATAGAAAAGCTGATACTGATAGCGACTATTGAAATCTTGATATCGATTTAACAGTTGCGACGGTTGCCTCTTAAGAAATGCTCGTCTTAACAACAACTAAAACAGATAGTCATCTGAATAACGCTATTCAATCAATAGAATACTTGAACCTTTGTACTGTTATGGTGGGATTGATTAATAAATAAAATTGAACTTCACATCTTAAAATTGACTCTAAAACTATTAATAAAAGAAAAGTTAAAAGCTTATTTTTGTCCTTAAGTTGTAAAACCTTTTAAAGTTATGTGTTTTTAAGGACTAGTGTGGTGAACCCACACTTGAACCCAGTACAAGGTCTTCCAACGGTTAAATTAAAAGTAAAAGTCTGAATCTCTGCAACGAGTTTGAACGAGTGCAACGATTTTTTGTCGAAAATTTGTAAACACATTACTCTTGAGCATGAATTAATGGTACAAGTGTTCAAAATGATCTGCTTGCAATCATCGCTATTCATTTTGCTTTCTGGAAACGCTCTAATATAATAAACGACCAGAATACGTGTCAGTTTTCATTCTTCACAAGACAAATCCGAAAAATCGTCTTGTCAGTTTTAGATTACTTTTAGTTGCTTTACTTAATGTATGAAATGTCTCGTTTTATCCCTTTTTCAGTTCAATTTTCATTCTTGATTCTGGTTTTTTTTTCAAACTTTTTTATTTGCTATTGTTTTTCATCAAATGCAACTTGAATGACTTTGAATAACAAGCATAAACTTTTGATGTAATCTGATTTGATGGTTTATTTGATTGTTTTTATGGTAATATACTGATGAACCCATTTCCAATGGATTTTAAACTTTTCATGGAAAGCAAAAAATTAATCTCTGGTTCATTATTGATTTATTGATGTACTGAGTCAATCCAGAAGTTTATGGTTAAATCATATTTCAACAATCTTTATTAAACTGATTTATCGTACAATAACATTGTAAATAACAGCTTCAAGTCAATCATCAATCTTTCAATTGAAACAGTCTAAAAATACTAAATTAAACATTTTATGTTGTGCAGGATTTTCATTTGATATTCAATAGATTCAACCAATATTGATTCAAATGAGGGTAATTTTGTCTTCTTTCACCATGAGTTATTATTTTCAAGCTTACAAATGATTCTTTGAATCAAAACTGTCTTCAAATGAGGTTTATATTGAAATTAAATTTGATCCTAATTATGATGTTACATTGTCAATTGAATTCTGGTTTTCTGGTTAAATGTTAACTTTCATTTTCCAACATTTTTCACTTCATGACATTTGATTAACACCAATTAACATGCTTTTCACATAACTAGGGTTGATTGCTTTACCATTGTAATTCAATGTACACCTTCAATGTGCTTTTTGTCAAAATATGTTTACCTATCATTCAGCCATCCAATTGATGTTGACCAAAAACACTTTTGACGTTCACTTTTCTCATGAAAATTTCAACTCAATTATTATTTATATATTCATATAACCTTTAAGCCAAGAAAGGTAAACTTTAACCTTTAAATCATTGATGATCATTAAAGATCATTAATGGTCATTTACATTGGGATTGGGTAAAGAGATTTGATTGATTTTCATGTAAAAAAGGTTCAACTCTTGAAAATAGACTCAACCTAAGGACTCATGCCTTATAAGCTGATCAACCGAATCAACTGTCAAGATTAATTAATTTATCAAAGCAGACTTACAACTGGCTTTTACAATATCAATACTAAATATCAACCGTTAATCTAATTATGGATTTTGATTCTTACAATATAAGATTGCCTTGATTATGATTGAAACACGAGATTAATGTGACTATTTATATTTTTTCAGATTAGTTGAAGAGCTTTAGATTCTGCATCTTTTTTGTTTCTTTAAAGTAAAGGATTGATTAAATGTTGAAGGATTGAATGTTATGTGACAATTGGATGTGTAAAGGGATTTGTTGAAGTCAGTGGAATGATCAAAGTTAGTTTAAATGTAAATAACAATTGAATTTCACTTTTTGTCATTCCTTCTGTTTTTGACAAGTTTCTGGTTATTTTGGTTACAATTGTGTCATTACTTGTTTGATTTACAATTAAATAATTATCGAGAGCTGTAAATTGAAACTTAACTCGCCATGTAACTGGACACGTTGAGAGATGTAATAAAGGACAATAAAGGAGACTAATTTAAGAGGTCATTTATTTTGACCAATTTAACGATGAAAATGTTGCTAATCTTGCAAGTTAATTTATTGTCAGAAGAAACAAATGAAACTGTTTCAAGGAAGGGTAAAGGTTTCGCTATTTCAACTCACAGTAATCCAGTGTAATTCAGTGTAAAAAAAGAATGGTCAAGATGAAGATGGGAAAAGGATTAAGCTTGATGAGATGATAAATTCAGCTGCAATTGCAAATTAAACTGATCTCATTGTGATAGTAATCAAGATTTGCATTGTTCAGCTCAAGGAAAAGTAACAATTGTTTTGATTAGGTTTGGATTGACAATGGGTTGACTTAATGGTTCAATATGGATAAAACTATTGAATGAAACAAATAGACGACAAAATGTAATACCAATCATTCAATCAAAACTGGACGATTCAAAATGTACCTGAAATTATCTTCTAATATCTAGAATTATATTTTTTGGAGTAAAATCATAATGAATTAGTCGCTCAATGACTTGTTCAAAGTGACTGTAATAACTATTCAAAGATAACATCACTGGATCGATGGCAAAGCTACTTATGAAGAGCTTAGGTAAAGGTTAGGATTTTGTTTCGCTGATGAAGTTTATAAACTACTTTCATTTCAACATTGTTCATCAAGTTGTTATAAATTAAAATGCATGAAAATGAGAAATTTTGAATGGAATGTGAAATTGGCGAAAAAAGGCCTTAAAATTACTGAAGCATTCGAGTGTACAACAAATGTCAGTAAGTTTAAGCAAACATCAAATGATGAGTGTAAATATTATTATTATATAAACTCATTGATGCCTTCAGACTGTAAGTCCATCTCTGTGAAACAACCATGAATTAAACATTGTTTGCCATGAGACTAAATAATTTGTAAACTCAATGTGAATATTTTCGCTGAAAGGTGAACTTTTCTGACAACAAATCTCATTGTATGACAGTTACTTGACCAGTAACCTTCTAGAATTTGGAAAAAAAAGTACAAAATTAAATTCACTGGAATTCGCAACATTATCAACATTATCATTTCCATTTTCAACATGCAATTCAATTGGAATATGAGACTTTTTTTCACAGCAAAAACTAAATGCAAACTTACAATTTAATGATGAAATTATGATTGAAATACAATATGCTTGTAATGATCTAAATCACTAATTTGAATGGTGAACTTGTAACTAGTTTTTCAATGGCAGCAATTTAATCTTGATTGATCAGTTCTGAGCAAAATAAACTAGATTTGATTACAAGCCCAGGCAATGGATTGATTGTTTAACTGTGAGCTGATTGAAGTGATTGGGCTTCGTTTGTGTTCATTTTGTTTACCAATCTGATTGTAAATAGCTTCAAGTCTGGTGATTAGAACCCAAATATAACTGTTAAATTGAAAGCAAAAAAAAATTGTTGGTAAACAAAATGGAAACATTTCCTTAATGATTCGCCCATGGTTTATCTTGGATTTCATCTCCATCATCGTTGAATAAAAATTTTGTTGATTCTTTTTCAATTCTTTTAGGTTCAACTGAAAACTGGTTTTTTGGCTTTAGTCTGTGACATGACAAATGATTGTAGAAATGAAGGTAAATTTTCATGAACATCATCAAGGAGTGAATTAAACTCTTTTTCACTCTCTCTGTGGTTCCAAAGGTAAAGTGAAAAAAAACCAAAAAATTTAACCTTTAACCTCATGAGACTTTGTCATGAACAGATTATATTTACCTTTACATGCAATATGTATTGAATGGTATTGTTTCACTGGCAAACCTTTTGTTATTGTTGTTATACACATCACTTTTCAAATTGTTGATTCAGCATTAGTTGAAATGATAATGATAAGTTAAAGATAAATGAACACAGAAAGTCACACACACAGACAGATAAACATGTAAGATATTGTAAATATAGCTTTTCTTGTAGATAACTTACGTTTTGTTTGACAATAAGATATCAATGTTGTATCAATGGGGAACAAAAATGATCATCTGATGTTTGCTTTTGACAATTTTTAGCCATAATTTCATCTTTATTTTTTTGCTCATCCAAGTAAGGATACACATTTGTTATCCTCAACATTTAGGGGAAGGAAAATACTGTCAATCTTGTGCGATGTTCATCCAGTTGTTGAAGTACATGACACTGCTGATCACTTTATCATTAATTTTATTATTATTTTCTCTGATTGTGTTGATGATGATGATAATGATGATGGGTATGGCGTGACCAAGATGTTGATACAAATGTTGGCTTGTTTTTTGTTAACAAAGTCTAGTATAAAAGCTTTCCAGTGACGACTTTATGAATTCAACTTTGCCTTCCAATTGTAAGCTACTCGAGTAATTATCTGAATGTTTAAATTCTGCTTGTGATTCCTTCTTTTTCTTCTTCTTTGCTCCTCATTCCCATTGCTTTTGTTCATGAATTGTCACAATTTTCATGCTGATGGAATTCCCAAAACAAAATAAATGTTGCAAGCAAAAAATAATGAAAAAAACCACATCAAAAAAACGAGGATGTTGACTGGTTTAAAGTGTATTAATGTCTAATATCATTCTGGTTCCTTCAACATCTTTTTTTGGCCTTTACTTTTCAATGTTAATTTGGCTTCCAATTTGGTAACATTTTTAATCACTTGAATCATTTCGTTTCAAGGGGAATCTCTTCAACAGATGTTACTTCTTGAAGATGAGCTTGAGCTTTTCCTAAATTACCATTCTTGATCCGAGATCCAATATAACCTAATAAGGGTGAACACAAGAGAAATCATTAAATTGTACAAAATTTAAACTCCAATTAAACTGTAACAAATGAATCATGAAAAATGAAACAAACATAAAGAGTAGGCAATTTAATTAACCAGAAAAAAGCAAAAACACTAATAACAACAACCAGAAAGCTTTTAAATAATGGTAATATTATTTGAAAAAATAATGTTATTATTATAGTGATGACTTATGTAAAAAAAGTGCCTGTTGAATAACATTAAAAGTTAACTCCAAACAGGCCAAATTAAGCTCCAATTAGACTGAGAAATGTAAATTTGTCAGCAAAAAGATGCTCAAATGATGTGCCAAAAATGTCTCAATTTTTTGTACAATTTAAAGCTAACGCTCTCTGTTGCTGTTTGGTTGTTGTTACAAAGACTCCATTGTTTGGGTTGTTTGAAAAATGGTTAATTAAATGGATGCCAATTTGTTTTGATTCAAGGTTTACAGGTTATTGGGTGTAAAATGAAGGGTTGAAAATGATCCATGGGTAGAGATGGAAATAACTTACATCTAAGTGTTGCTCCCTGTGAGGATTGAGCTGAAGATGAAATCATGAAATCAGGTTTACACGGTTTTTTGATGAAGGGTAAAAATCTGAAGATATACTTGAATCCTTCACGAAATCGAGTGTTCATCCAACAATAGATTATCGGATTACAGCAAGCATGGGACATGGCCAACCAATGACAGGCAAACCAAATGTAAATTATATAAGAGTATGAAAATATTTCCGGGTGATTGTCACCAACAACGATAAAAGTATTGAATGGCAGCCAACATAATGTAAATGCTGTTACACAAGTAATCATCATCTTGATCATCTAATGGAGTTAATAGGGAATGGATATGGAATGATGAGTGAGAAAGGAAAGGCAAAAAAAGGAAGGAAAAGATGAAAGATTATTAATATAATTAGATTGGTAAATGATAAAGTAATGAATAGATAGTACTTGAATGAACAGATAATCAAGATAAATGGGAAAAAGGTTTACATTGCTCAGAGTTGAAACGTTTCCTAAAATAAAACGCTTTTAAATTGAGCGCTTTTGTTATCGATACGGATTTGGATTGTCATCTGGGATCGATATTGATATCAATAACAAATGACTAATCAAATGAAGATCAAATCATTGGGTTCAATTGATTTTGTTTCATTTGTTGATCTGAATAGTGTTTTTGTCTGTCTTTTTTTGTATTGTTTTTCACCATTTACAAATTTTAACACTTTAACACTTTAAGTTGGCTCAATTGAGTTTGGTTAAAGTGTACTTTTTGAATCACTCAAGACTAACTGTTGAAATTGGTAAATGTGAGTTTCATGTTTATCACCATCTAAATTCACTTATACACTTGAACTACACAACAACCGTACAACAAAATGGATATTATTGGAAACTTGAGAACAGCAATGAACCCAAGAATGTACATTAGTAATATAACTACATAAGTAAGTCTGATTGATCATAATTTTCAATGCTTTAAAGGCTCAACTGTATATGTGATACAAACAAAAACGATAAACAATTGACATGTAATATTTTGTTAGAGTACATGTTGTCTTTGTTGAAATGTTACCCGATTTTGTAGCTAAATTTACACTTGTTTGGCCAAAATATTCAAATGATTACCTAACATTTAACTGTAATAATTTGTAAATTTACAAAGGAAACATTTCTAAAGTCAATTGAGTGTAAATGAAAAGACATGGATTTCAAGTTGTGTCAATAACAAACAGTCAAGTAACTGTTAAAGTGTAAAGTTTAATTTTCGGTGTTTTGTGAAACAAAAATGGACAAAGGTTGGGAATCTCAACTTGCGATGTTTAGCTATTGATGGTCAACTCAATTGATAGCTGAAATGGTTAAGCCTCTGGTGATATAAAACGTTACAATAATCGCAATTTCCTTGACTTCTTCAACATTTTCACTTAAGATGATTAAAAAGTAAACCTTTTTTTATTGTAGTCATTATTGAACATCTAATTATTTTGATTTGATTTATTCATCATTAATAATCAACTATACATGTTTGAAATGATGGTCATCGCCATCCTGATGATCATCAGCAAGACCAATTTAGTTTTGGTCAATCAAGTAAATTTTGTCACTTCTCTAATTGTCTATTGACTATTAGATTGACTGACAATCTTGGCTAAATTGACTGGCATTTGTCAATATTGATAAGCCTAAAGATTATACTTACAGACTCATTGAAATCTCAATTCAACTGGCAAATGAGTTGCCATTCAATCCAATTTTCAATTAACAATTGTGTTTATCTTTTCACGAACAATCACTGACTAACAATTAACTTTAATTAACATTGAATTGAACATAATGTGAAAACTGGAGACACTTTGCTCCTTCCAAAACTAATGGTTCCTCTTGGTTTTACCATTTCATTGATATTCCTTGTTTACTTAGCACTTCCCAAATAATATATAATAATGGCCATTGGTTTTTTTTGATCAACATAAAAAAATCAGTTGACTCAATTGACTTTCACTTTAATCATCTCAATCCATCAATAACTATTCAATTGTTGATAGATTGATTTTAATCAACATTTTTTATCAATTTGTTTCCAATCATATTGACCAAGTGAAGGATCAAAGTTGAACCCAAATAGTGAAACTAATGAAAATCTGTGAATATCAATATTTGGGTTATTGTTGACTCCTCATTATTTATATCAACAGCCTTACTTCAACATCTTATTGCCATTGAAAATATATTTAATCTTGATCAGTTGTTATGGTTAAATACCAGTATAACCCTGGATTAAGACTTTCTGGTTAACTCTTGTTGGCTAATCTTTTTATTAAACCTGACAATGTCCAGTTGAAGGAAAGGCGAACAAAATCAATTACTTTGAAAGACTTGAAAACCAGAAGGTCAGTATCAATCAAAGAGTCTGGATCAACCTGATAAATCACAATAAACACCAACACAATATAAAAAGCTAATTGACAGTTAATTTGCCAAACCAGTTGTAACCATCTAAAAATGTTGATTTGTAAAGGCTAACCTTTTGTTACGATTCATTTAACAGAGCAATTAGTTAATAAGCCATCAATGTTAATTGAAGTGCAAACACTGGCAATGTTAAAATTACTATTAGTGTGTGTTAATTTGTTGTAACAAAAACCTAAATTCATTGTCATTAACAATTGAAAATAATCACTGGAATGGTAAAAAAACGGTCAGATTAAAAACAATTTACCAAAATGTATAAACGTTAAGGTTAACACATGCAAGTTGATTGGTGGCTAAATGATGCTCATCAAGATTCAACATTATTTATAGCCGCTTGTTAATTATAGTTGGCAGTTGGTATAATAATGAATATCAATAAAGGTGATTCAGTTGAAGTTAATTTTGGAGAAAAAAATTCCAGAAAAAAAGTCTTGAATTTGTTGAATCGAAATGATGATTATATTGGAAATGTGATTCTAAATGTACATTCCAATGTTGATTTCAATAAAAAGGAAATGAACCAGAAAAGGAATTTTCATTTAAATAAATGATGGTGAAGATGAAAATGAAATTGGAAAATAATTTCCATCAAAAACCCAAATGAGTGACACTAAAAAAAGTGTTTAATATAACAGTCTATAAGCTTCCATTTTCAATCCTAATTTCAACCTGATCAACTTCATCCTCTTGTTTACTCTGTAAAGTGAATAATTTTCCTTCGTCATCACCATCATCATCCTGATTTATCAATTCCCAGTCAGAGAATTGTCCTTAAGCTATAATAGAGGAAAAAAATCGGGTATTTTGTGCCTCTCTTTGTGATCGATACTTTTTTTTTAATCATCAACTGGAATCCATTAGGTTTTTGTGCAAGTGGTGGATCTATTGAGGGCTGCTTGAGTAAAGGTGAATTTGTGATTAAACAAGTTTGGTTTGTTAGTTTAAATAATAATGTATAAATATGTGCATTTATATATATTGTTGGATGTAATAATGTTAATAATTATGTTTACAATTTACTTTTGTACACAATGTACATAATATTAACACATTATGTTATGTACTTGTTGACTGTGAAAGTGAAATGAAAATTGATTTTCAACCTTTCTTCAGGTTGTATCATTGTTATCAATTGAAGCTTTATGGTTATAATGATAACAATAAAGGTTCATGGTAATATAGTCTGGTAATGGGTGAAAAAAGGTAAGATGAAAGGTGGGGAAAAAACAAGTCACAATGAACATTAGAGACACAAAGGTGATGAAGGTGATGGTCAATGTTTTTATAAAATATCCTGTCTTTTACATCAACCTTGATTGTAATCTACTCTTTATCACTATTGTAATCATCGTTATCTTGGCTTCTCATCATTTCCAGTTCATTGTATTGTCACCATGAAAAGAGGTGAGATATAATGTAGCACTAACCGTTCGTGAGTTATGCCTGCATGAAGGCGTAAAATGAGAAAAAAACTCCCGGTAAATAGATTTTTAAGATTCTTTCCATCATTTTGAGTTCAATTTTTATCTTCATTTTGTCCTTTTTTTTCTCGAGTTGCCTCTTTTTTGTCTGTCAGATTTACTTGAGATTATATAATAAATTTCATTCCATGGTTTCAGATTGCCAGGTTGAGGCAATTATTGATGCTCACTTTGGATGGATCTTGTTTAAAACACATTCAAAAGCTCAACTTCAATTATCTTGAAAGTTTCACTCTTCACATGAGAAGGCGACAATTTAAATTGTAAAATACGCTATTATTAGCTTGGTTATTATATTGAAAATCAGATGAAAATTATTTTCACCTTTGGTCTATTATTTAGACATTTTTCCAATGTGAAAATGTTAGCTTTAAACAAGTCCTTCTAGTAATCTGATCAAGCATGGTTTTCCTGATGATTATTATATTATTGTTAGTGATGTTAATAAGATTTCACTTTGATTGATAAAAATTACTTTGAATGACATCCATTATGGGAAAAAAAGAGATGATTAATCTTTGCAGCAATTGAAAAGCTCATCTGATCAACTTGATTTCTCCTTTTCTTTCAATTTCCTGGATATAATACTTGTTTGCCTGTTTCCATCAGGTAATTTCTAGGTAGCCTAAGTGGTCAAGGCAACTCAATGGACACTTGAAAATTGGTCATTACACAATAGATGGACTAAATTGCATCACTGTAAGAAAAAAATAAAACTGGTAAAAAACATTGTAAATCCAATGATTCAAAATGAAATGAAAGTCTAGAAACTGGTAATGTACAAATATTGGCATGATTGGAATGGATAGGTTTTTTTTGAGTCTTTAGTTTTCACTTTTCAACACAATTCAATACAATCTAACAAGAATACCTTAAGGTAATAACAGGAAACTTTCTTGTAAAGAAATAATATTATGTTAAACTTTTTATTCTTTAATTCAATCTTGAATTGAAACAAGAAATGGGAAGAAAAAATTGTTTCTTATTGAGCGCTTGTTGATTTATATTTATAAATATCTTTTCTATTACATTTGTTGCTGCTATTATTTCACTGTTAACTGATCGCATAAAAAAATAGTAAATATTTCATTTTTTCAATTGAAACATTTAGTAAAAACAAGAAATAATCATGTTACCAATGGAAGAAGAAACTGGTTCGGTTTTATATTGTCAAATTGTACCACATTATGTTACAGAATTTGATAATATTCTTAAATTTCTGGTCATTTTTGTAATGGTAAAAAATAGGGTCAACTTGAAGTTATCTGGGTATAAAATGAATAGTCAAATAACAAGTTGACTCATTTTACTTACTTTTCGTTTGGATGCTGCCAACCTTTTATCACGGGCATCTTCTGCCTCTCCTGGAGTTGTTTTACCCCAAACAGCAATTGCGATTCGTGTATAAGTGTACAAAAGGACAACAAACGGGAAAAAATACTGTAAAATCATTAAAGCTAAACTGTAAACTTGGCGGTAGGTTTGATTGGCAAAATCCTCTGTACATGTGTATCGGTCAGTGATGCCACTTTCAACCCAAACTGCCGGTTGAACAAGCTTTGAGACAATAGCTGTTGGTAAAGGTGTTATCAAGGCCACAATCCAAACACAGGCTATAATTAATTTAGCTTGGAATCGAGTCATTTTAGGCCGTAATGGGTACAAAATGGCAATGTAACGATCAAGAGAGAGCGCTATAAGTGTATAAGCAGAGATAAAAACTGAAACTGCTTGTGAATAAGAGACCAAAACACACATGAAAGCACCAAAAGGCCAATGTTGAAGTATAAGGTTGGACACAAAGGTAAATGGTATGCACAGTGAAGCCATCAAAATGTCACTTAAAGCTAAATTGACAATAAAATAATTGGTAACCGATTGCATCCGCCGATAGGCAATGACGATAAAACAAACAATTGCATTTCCAGTAATTGCTATAACACATATACTCGAATACATAAAGTACATCAGGACCTGAAATGCGAGAAGAAAAGAAGAAAAAAATGGTTAATTTTGTTAGCTAAAGATAAGTGTAGAACAAATGAAATGGAAAATTTTGTAACAAGCATTAAAATAATTTGAACCATTAATCATTAGGGTTACTGAAGTTGCAAAAGGAAAGATAAACATCTAAGAAATTGTCTGTCTTATTAGACGATGACTGTACCGTTCAATAATCTTTCAATCAATCAAGCTTTTGCTGACTATTGGGTTAAAATATTACAGTTGTTTTTCAATCAAGCTTTTGCTGACTATTGGGTTAAAATATTACAGTTGTTTTTTGAAGAAAACAAATTCATCATCAGTTTAGACAGATAACGTTAAAGAAATATGATATAAGTGTGGACAAATAAGGTACACATAAAAACGTTAAAGAAATATGATATAAGTGTGGACAAACCTCGGCTAACATTGGGAATTTCATGACTATTATTTATCGTCAAAAATTACAATAGCTGTTGGTTATGTGTTTAAAAATGGCTGGACAGTCAATTGAACTTTTAACACTTTCAATATTTCTAGAAACAATCTGTAACACTTTCTCATGATTACAGGAAAACACTTGATGTAAACTTAAATTAATCATTGTGTGAAATCAAGACAGGTGAAGTGATTTTCATTGTTGAGAAAATTGAAATTAGCAGGAAAAAGTGTATCTAATAGATAGATTTGGTCCATATTGCACTAAATTCCTGGAACAAAAGCAATTGATAGTTTACTTGAATTAAAAGATTGATAACTTTAAGCACTGAACTAAAATAAATGAACAAATTGGCACAATTGAAATTGATAAACACAAGTTGAAGATTTATCTAAAGAAACAAAAGCAATTGGAAAAGTTAACTTTAATTTGGTAATTTTTGGCAAACACGAAGAAAAGGTCAACATTAAGATCATCTCTTAATGAAAACTGAACAAAACCAACACAAAGTTGCTTAATCTACTGATAAACTGAAACTCCATGCAGAGTTTTTCTTTGACTCAGAAATTTCATGCAGGGAGTTTTATTATAAAGAGCTGATAGCAATAATAACACATAATGATGAGTACAAAAATCTGATTCGTATGCTGATGCCATCTATTGATGTTCAATTCAACTATAAATATTATGTCTATTTTTAATGTAAATACATAATAATATTTATAGAGGATAGATAAATATAATAGGGATTATATTACTATTAACTATTATTTAAAGAGATAGAGGAAGAAAGAGTCTGAACTATCCTTGTATTTTTGTTGAACATTGCTTTAATTTATTCATTGTGTGTTGCCTTTTCCTGAACAACAAGTCATCATCAACTCCATGAGATGTAACCTTATTTCTTGTTGTTTATTTTCACATTTAAATTACTCATTTAATTTTGTGCTTTTTCTTTCTTTTTGCTATGGAATCCAGAGTGGCTATTTTCATTAAAACTAATTACCTTTTATTGTTGCAAAAATACATGATAAATTGAACTGTTTTCATCCAATGTAAGTAAAAAAACAATTGAATCTTTTGATTATCAGACGATATTTATTTTATTCATAATAGCCGCTTTTTTCTTTACGCAGGTTTTCCCCGCCCACCCTCCAGAAACTTTTTACACACTCTGTAGAAAGATAGAGAGACAGAGAGAGACAGAGAGAGTTAGACTGAGAGGAGAGAGACAAAGGAAGAAATACATACAATATTTTCATCTCTTCTTCTTCTACATGGTTTTACTTTTTCCTAAATTAATTATGATTGTTTTGTGAATTTAGTGGGTTAATTTTATTTAAATAATTTCTTTGAGTCTTCTTTTTGGATCTACTGGTGGTCCTGTTTTGGTGGTTTTTTCACCTATATATATTTATTAATCTTGTGTTGAAAGGACATGTCGGCAAAAGTTGGTCCTCCCAATGGAGACGAAACGAGTCCTTTGGAAGAATCCATTCCCCTTGATAGGTTAAAGGTGTTGCTACAGAATCAATTGGAATACTATTTCTCATGGCAAAATCTGTCTCGTGATTCATATTTAAAATCTCAAATGGACAGTGATCAATATGTTCCAATCAGTACTGTAGCCAATTTTGATCAAATCAAAAGGCTAACCCGCAATATCGACCTCATTGTGGATGTGCTTAAAGGTACATGGAGCCTCTGCCTTTTTTTTCCTTTTTTTTCTTTTTTCAGCTTTTTTTCCATTACTTTCACTTTCAGTTTTTTACTTTTTTTTACATCAACAATTTTTCCTCTTTGCTCCTGATCTCATTTTCTTCATCTAGATAATCCATCACATTAATAAACACTTATAAATATGTTTTAATTTGCTCATGTGGTAAAATTTAACCCTAATCTTTTATCCTTCTATTTTATTCTTTTCTTCAACAGAATCACAATGTGTCCAGGTGGATGAAGAGGGCCAAAAAGTTCGTCCAGTTAGTAAACGATGTGTTCTTATATTGAGAGAAATACCTGAATCAACTCCTCTCAAGGTTAGTTACTGCCATAGCTTTATACAGCCATACATATTATACGAAACATTATCACATTGCATTGTGCCTATGTATATATATTGTGCTACATCATGAGCTTATCGGCGTATTGTCTAACTCATTTTATTTTTCATCTTATCTTTCCTCTTATGTGAATGCTTTCCTTTTTTACTCTTTCTCTATCTCTCTCTCTTCTTTCTCTCTTCTTCTTTCTCTTATTTTATATCTCATTGCAGGATGTACAAAATCTATTCAGTGGCAAAGAGTGTCCGAAATTCGTATCGTGTGAGTTTGCTCATAATAATAGTTGGTATGTTTCTTTTGAATCCGATGAAGATGCTCAACGAGCTTATAGATATTTGAGGGAAGAGGTCAAAACCTTTCAAGGTAAACCAATAATGGTAAGTGTTGCATTTAAATGGAATTTTTAGCTCAAATCGAATCTTGTTCATCTTAACCATAATTTATGTTAAGTCTCAACAAGACTATTGATTAGCAATGTCAAGTTTTTTCGCATGTTTGTTTAAATTTTTTATTTATCTATTTTATCTAACGAATGCTATCTTTCTAATCATTTTCTGTTTTTTCAGGCTCGGATTAAAGCTAAACCAGTCATTTCAAACTATCTGACTTATAAGAACGGAGCTGAGCCAGGTGTTGGCTTTGATCTTCCTTCTTCTATCGAGTCCCCGGTTAACAGTGGCCATTTTAATGCAACAATACCTGCCACTGCGGGTCACCCAGCATATCCTGCGATTTCTCCCGTAAGTCAATTAATATTGAGATTCCCATGAAATTTAGATCACGTCTATTGCATTAGGGATATGACTCACGTCTTCTAATATTTGTTATGTTGGCTTCTCGTTTTGAGTAAATTAATTAATTTAAACTCTTATCCATTGCTTCTCTGACGATATACATTTCAACACCGTGTCAATGCAAACAAAATTTATAAGAGTCATTTTCCGTCATAAAAAAGCAAATACTTCTCTCATATCTTTTTCATTGGCAATTAAGTGTTTTTTTCACACAATCCATTTTTTATATTTCTATTATTTCCTTTCGATGCAATTCATAGGTTTATCAGCCATTATACCCTCCGCCACCTATGCTTCACACCTGGCCTCCAGCGACCACTTGTTACGATTTGAGCACTGTTTTCACTTTAAATGGCCTATCTCCACATGCTGCTTTCAAACCTGTCCATAATAGTTCCACCCGTCAGCCTTATGTATTCCGAAACTCTAGGAAGAACAACTATGCCTCCATGCGTTATGCCAATCCAGCTAACAGTGGCGTTGCAACCCCATCTTCTACAAATGTGACAACATCGAATACTGCCGTAGTTGGAGATGATGATCCACAAAATCAATCGGCTAAGTCTTCAGAGGAAAATGCAGATCCCAATTCTACTCATCAGGCATCATCTGAAATCAAGTATGTCTTAGTTTTTTCTTTTTTTCTTGGAATAAACCCAATATGGAATATGTACATATTGATTACAAATTTGTTGCTCTTTGCACAGATCGGGTACCAAATCCAACCAAGCTGGTGATAAAAGATCTAAATTTACAGGTAAGAATGGTGCGTCTAGAATTTTAATTTAATTACTAAATCTATTGTGGAGCTTATTTATACATTCAATTTTATCTGTTACAGATTCTAGATCATCCAATTCTTCATTAAATCATGATGAAAACCATTGGAACTCTGGATCATATGGATCAGGATACTTTTACGCTAACCGGTCAAGAAGGAATTACTCTTCTCGTTAGTAATCATTTAGTTTTGTTTCCTTTTAATATTATTAACCTCCTCTTCCTTTTTCTTATTATCACTTCGTTTCTTTCTGTCTGCCTTGTTTCTTTTCTCATTGCTCCTTGAATAAGTTATTTTTGTCACGTCAAATACCTTTTTCTAGCCTCCTTATTCTAACTATACTCTTTTTCTGTGTATTTTTATAATCTTTTTTTTCTAGGGTCGGATAATCGAGAGAAACAAACGTCTTTCGAAAGCTCTAGATCAGATTATGGTTATCATTATGATTCAAATTATGTGCCTCATGGTAGTAATGGTGGTGGAAGCGGTGGCAGTGGTATGTCAACGCGAGGGAATAAATCTGGAAGACGAAGAAGAAATGACGGAGAAAACTCTGAGCCTGTGTCGTCTAGTTATGCCAATGGGAAACATAGCAATTCTAAAAATTATAATTATAGCAAATTAAACCGGAGCAGTAAATTAAAAGATGACGATAAAGCAAACAAAGATTTTGACCTAGGTGCCACGGCCTTTCCGCCATTGCCTGGGCTTGACAACTCATTCTCGTCCAAACCTAAGAACTCAATTAATCCTGGAGACACTGATGTTCCGTATGTATTTTTTCTATCATTGGTTCTGTTTAGAAATGAAATATTATAATCTAATTTTCAATTTTAATTTTTAGGGACCAAGCTTCATTGTCTCCAAACCAAAACAACGGTTCAAATCTAGATTCTGTGATCAAATCTTCTGGTAGTTTAAACTATAACGGGTCTTTAGCTGATGTTGTTCGAGGTACGGTTAAAACAAACAAAAGTCAACCTTGGCGACAACCTGAAGTAGCCAAGGCAAATTCGGGTGATATTAAAAATACTGATACTGGTAAAGATCAAGCTAATATGAATCAAAGTGAAACTTGGACCAACTCTGGTGACAAAAATGAGTCAGAGAATACCGCAACAACGGATGAAACTCTGATCAGTGCAACTATACAAGACACTGTTTCAACTTCAGCTGAACAATTTAAAGACTCGCCTAAAAACCTTAAAGGTTCATCTTCAACTGCCAAAACAAAAGATCTTTTTTCAAAGAAGGACGATTCAGAAAATAATGTAGTTTCCTCAACTGCTGCGGCTAAATGTCCAGTCACGGCAAATCAAAAGAACTCCATAAACTCCTCTTCGCGATCTCCTAATGTTCCAAATCTTGATCATAATAGTTGTGATTACGATAACACAAGTCATTACAAAGTGCCCAAAAGTCCTCCCAAATCAACTCCGCGCCAAAGTAATACTAATAATGATAGTAATAATATCAATGATAATAATGGTATCAGTAGTACTAGTTGTAGCAGTAGTAATAGCAACTCCACAAGCATCAGTACTAGTATCAACACCAGCAACAACAGTAGCATTAACTCAGTTTCAGATAGCCCCAAAAGTGAAGAGAAAGATGGCCAGTCATCGATAAAGGTTTCTCCGAAAACGGATCGGGCCCTTAAAGATCACAAAGATAATAGAAGTAATAAGATATTACCCGTTAAAAGTGAAAAACCGTGCAACGAAGTAAATTCAACTACACCTGTAAAACTCAATAATAAAAATGGAAAATCTCCTACCGAAAAGAACGATGAGCAAGAGCGGGAAACAAATAATGACGAACCATATCGTAGTGGGAGAAAATTGACCTACTCTGAAGTTGCTCGCCTCTCCAAAGCAAAGCAAACTGCTGGAGTAGAAGATAAGAGGAGTTGAACGTTGGATAAATATAATACAAATTGGAAAGAGAGAAAATAAATTCAAGTTTACCAACAATAGACAAATGTTCAAATTATTCATTTACCATTGTATCATAAACAAGGACAAGGCGATAATGTTTACCCTTGTAACCAAAATTGAAGAAAATGTCAACTCAAACTATATATCCGGTTATAAGATTATCTCTCGTTAATTCCGTTTTAATAGCCTTAAACAAAACAACTTCAAGTAACACCAATCCTGTAAACATCATGAGATTCTTGTTAATATTATCTGGTACATCTTTAAATATTTCCTGATAATACAAATCATCATCTCAACAGTAAATCACAATACAATGTAGATTCCTTTTTATATATAAATATTATATACAACCAACTAGTCCGTTGAGTTAATCAAAAAACACCAATGGAAAACATTGTAACTGTTCAATCCTGAATCAAAGCTCCTCCAATAATGTTATTATGGCTTGAGAAAGATGATCTAATTTTCACCAATAAACAATTAATCAACCTTAACCAAAAAGTTGATTATCCAATGAACCAACAGAATTAAATTTATTATGATGACCATGTGATTAGCTTTTTATTGGGAAATACATGCGAATTGAAATCTGTGAAAAAAATGGAAATCAATCAACTTCAATCATAAGTTGAATCGTATCAGATTAAACCATACATTGAACGAGACGTGTTTTAATTGAGTTATTTAATTATTCTATTTATCTAATTTTGTTATCACTTTCACGGGGAATACGGTACAACCCAAGTTTTCACTTGAGCACCGCTTTTATTATTAATAAAAGTCATAAGATTTTGTATCATTTGAATCTTTCAATTTTGTATACCACATGTATTTTCATTGGTTACCACAGATCTCAGTAATTATTAAATTGAAATGATGGAGTGAAATGCCAAATCAAATAAAGCCATAGTGGGATTATCTAGAAATTTATCAAAAAAGGTATTGATGGGTGAGGGGAACAAAAATAAGCAATTCACAAAGAGAACAATTTGATTTGATGCTATCATTAGCAATTACATCACAAGAAGCATGAAGCAATCAAAATATGAAAAGGCAGCATCATCATCATCAACAGCGGGAATAAGTAGGCATATAAAAATAAATTTAATGCTAAACAATTAACCAATTGTGTTTGAAACATGATAAGAAATAGTCAAAAATTCCGCTACGAAAATTGATGTTTCAGTAACCAAAGTAACAAAGTCATGTTCAAATGTAATATTTTCCCCCTTTTCTTGCTCACTCGCTTATCTTTTTTCATCTTCCTCTTTCTCCCGTCTCTTACTCTAAAATCTCATCGTGCTTATACAGTTTTTTTTACAAAATCTCTTTCATCCTTAGTCTCATCTCATCTTTTTCTTCTCTCTCTAGCTCTTTCTTTTTCTCTTTCTGTAAGCTTACTTATCATCTTTTTCTTGTGTCGAGCCTTCTACTTTTCATTAAATTTTCTATACTTTACCTGGTAAAGTTTACCATTCAATCAAAATATGGCCACCATACCTAGTCGTAGTGATTTTATTGTTGGTTCCAAATATCGTTTAGTTAGAAAAATAGGTTCTGGTTCCTTTGGTGATATATACCTTGGAATTAATGTTACTAATGGTGAAGAAGTTGCCGTTAAATTGGAATCAATTAAAGCAAGACATCCTCAGCTTCTCTACGAATCTAAATTATATAGAGTATTGGCTGGTGGAGTAGGCATCCCACATATACGATGGTAAGTCTGCTTTTTAGCTTTACTCATTTCCCTGTTTCTCAACCCTTTGTTTATGTACCCTTTTAATCATTTTACCCTTAAGCCTAACCTTTCATCGACCTTTGTCCAGCTTCCTTGTGGATTGGATTGGATTTAAAACAAAAGGTTTATCTGGATAATCCTTAATTTTGAGAAATATATAATTTGGGGCTTTTGGATTACTGTATATGCTTTCTTTCTTTCCCCTCTATCCTTGTTTTCTCTCTTCTCTTTCTTTTCTTTATTTTTGACTCTTTCTTTTGCTTTCTTCTCTTACTCAACTATTATATTTCTTCCCATTTCATCTTTCTATTTTTCTTTCTACCTTTTTTACTCTTCATTTTGTTTTTCTTCCTCTCTCACTATCTTACTGTCTGCTTTGTTTTCAGTCTTTTTTATCAGGCTTTCCTTCTTTCTTCCAATCTCTTACTCTCTTTCTGTTTCTCAAGGCTTTCTATTAAGCGTTTTCATCTGAATGTTGGTCCCTTTTCTTTCTTCGCTTATATCTGCTTTTTCGCTGTTTTCTTCTTCCCCTTAGCTTGCTCTCTTTTATTCCATCATTTCGCGATGCTAGTGCAGGTAACAAACCTGAATTGGCTCATTAACCTTAACCTCCTCCTCACATCTTACCTAGCTTTACCTTCGTTGCTCTGCCTTATTTTTCTTCTCCTAGCTCACTTTTTTCATCATCTTCTCTATCAACCTTCTATCATCCTTTTCTCCCTCTTTCATCCCCATATTCATCTTGCTCACTCGTCCCTTTTGCCTGTGTGGTCTTTCTCACTGTGATGAAATAATCATCACAATCATTTCTTCCCACTACCTCTTTCGATGACCTACCTAACGAACGAACATGAACATAAACATTTCTCTTCACTCCGTCTCACTATTCGTATATCTCTCTCTCTTCCTCTTTCCATCCCTTTGTTTTCTCATCTAATCTAATTTCTTACATGATTCTTCTTTTAATTGTTTCAGGTATGGCCAAGAACGAGATTACAATGTCCTAGTAATGGATCTCTTAGGTCCTTCATTAGAGGATTTATTCAATTTCTGCTCCCGTCGTTTTACTATGAAAACTGTTCTCATGCTTGCTGATCAAATGATAGGAAGAATTGAGTTCGTGCACAACAAGAATTTCATTCATAGGGATATTAAACCTGATAATTTTCTTATGGGAATAGGTCGTCATTGTAATAAATTGTTTCTCATTGACTTTGGTTTGGCAAAAAAATATAGAGATAGCCGATCTCGGCAACATATTGCTTATCGAGAAGACAAAAATTTGACGGGTACAGCTCGGTATGCCTCAATAAACGCTCATCTCGGTAAGTCCAATTACAAAACATCATACAGCAAGGTCTTTTACACCTGTTTACTTAGGTTTTTCCAGTGCAATACATTTTGAGTACACTGATCTCAATTGACAATAGTTTTATTTTCATTTCCATTGCCTTTTTTTGTTGAGATAGTCCTTGAGGCCTTGAAGGGACAAAACGACTAAACTAAACGTCAAAGCAGTCAATTCGTCAATTCAAATTGACAGTATACATATTTTACATTTATTTCAGATTAGCTTTAAATTTCATTCAACTTTGGCTTCCAATCTGTCTTTTGTTTGTAATTTTAATCCGTATTACTGTCCATGACGTTATGTTTATCGTTCCCTCCTTTCTTCATTCCGGCCTCTCCTAAGTTAATCATAGCATTTTATGGAAGACCTTTGCTGTTTGAACTCTTGTTTTACTGTAAATGCTTAAACTAACTTTGGCCTTTTCAACCTTTTAGGAATTGAGCAAAGTCGTCGAGACGACATGGAATCTTTGGGCTATGTGCTGATGTATTTCAATCGAGGGTCACTACCGTGGCAAGGTCTCAAGGCAGCCACTAAAAAACAAAAGTATGAAAAAATCTCCGAAAAAAAGATGTCAACATCTATTGAAATGCTATGTAAAGGTTAGTAGATTTTCTAAAATTCTATATTGCTGTATCTACTGTTGCTATGAATCAGATACAGCTTCCATTTGACCCTTTCCAAGTATTAAGTATATTCATGAAAAGATTTTAATTGAGCCTTTTCTCTATCTATAGGTTTCCCAGCCGAGTTTTCTATGTATTTGTCATATTGTCGAGGCTTACGATTTGAGGAGGCACCCGATTATATGTATCTTCGTCAACTATTCCGCATACTATTTCGTACCTTAAACCACTCATATGATTATATTTTCGATTGGACAATGTTGAAGCAGAAAGCCGCTGCCACCATAGCTGGAACTTCTTCATCGCAAAATGTAGCTGCAACCGGGGCCACAGGCGGCCGTTAACTGTTTGAAGGAGAATCAAATCTGTAATCTGCTTAATGACACTTGAATCCAATGTTACCATGTATAAAAAAACATAATTGTATTCAACACAATTGTAACCACTCTCAACCCCTCTGACTATCTATCAATAGTCACTAGGAAAAAACACTATGTGCTTCAGCTCATTTTGGCAGATTTCGAAATTACATCAACAATAATCATCAAAAACAAAACTAAAACCAGTGAGCACGCATCTTCATCATCATAATCATCGTTACCTTCATCATACTTATCATCAAACTACAACAAACCAACAACAACCAACAACACCAAGCAAACAAACAACTTTAAGTTTGAATGTTTTTTCTCTTCATTTCTATTTTCTCTCACTTTTCTTTTGAGAGCGATTAAACGCTTTTCAAGATAACAAATCACATAATCTTTTCATTTTATCATCACCCTTTCTTTCGATTCTTCCCTTCTCTACCCTCCTCAGTCTCTGTCTTTCTTTTTTCTCTGCCGGTCACCATAAACATCACATTTTCATCTTCATTACCATCTTCATCATGATCATCTTCACCATCACCGTCATTATCATCATAATTATAAATATGGATCCTAATTTTTGAACACATTTCTTAAATTTGAGAAAAGTGTTTCAATTACCAAAACTAGATAATAAATGAAATACAAAAAAAAACCTAAATTATTATTATTATTATCATAATTACGATGATGATGATGGTGATGGTGATTATTATTATTATTGCTTATTATACTTGTTTTCTCTTTTGGCTGTTGCCATAAATAATAATAATAATTCTGATGCCTCTTAACATAACAATGTTTCCAATTATCATTACTTTTTTACCTTAATCATGTTTATGCTCGCTCGCCCCCTAAAAACATAAAATTGAATGTTGATTGACTGTTATATGGTTCAAGTGGTTATTGGCTTTTTAATTGACCTCACCACAAAATTGTCATCAAATCTGAATTGAAGCAAACATTTGATTAATTTCAGCTCTCCCTCTATCCATTTTATTAACCCTTTCTCTAATTAACTTTCCTTCTTTCTTATTTCCCCATTTTCGTTTAATTTCCTCCCTTAAGCTTTTCCAAGGTTTAGAGTGGGTATTTTTGAGATGGACTTTTGAATTCCAGTTTTTTTTTCTAATTCGGTTGTCTATTTAATGGTCATTTCAAAAGTATTATGGATATAAATTGCTTGAATTTTCAAACGGGAATTGCCAAATTCAATAAAATACGAAAAGGCCATTAAATAAGTCAAGTCTGTGGCTTATCGGAAAAGTTGCTTTTAAATAAACTGGGATTCACGCAGAGTCTAATTCAAAAGCTGAACCATAAAAGAGCTGTGTAACTAGGTGTAAATTGTTTGGTCAGAAACATTCAATTGTTCAATTAATCAATAATTGTTATAACAGTAATGCTGATAATAATGAAAAGAACATTCAAAAGCTAATTTTTAACAAAATGCAATCAAAATACGTCAATTCAAATAGTGTGAACTAATTTACTTTTTACTCCTTTTTCTGCCTTCCTAATTCAGCATTGTTTGTGTTAATAATTTGATACCAAATGATAAAGGGGTTTGTTTCACTGGTAATGATGATCAAGTCGATTAAAAATATAAAATTGAGTTTATCATTACAATAATTTTCATTAAACGTGTGCGTTTCAACGCTAAATTTTACACTTTGGAATTTATTCATTATCCTGAGTAAATTATATTCTGAATAATTAGTTGAAAGTAAATTTCTTAGGAAGTAATTGCATATTCATGATCATAATAAATCATTATTTCATCACAATCATCAAATGGTAAATTTTTGTTATCTATTGACATTACAATTGGCTTAAAACTCTGCTCAAACAACGTTTGGCTTCTTCCCTTAGCGTTTCAATACAAAAATAAATATATAAATATATATTTCTGAATAAGATGACAACAATAAGGAAAGAAGAGAAAGATCAAAAGAATTACAACTCATCATAATCATTTTTTTATAGGACACTCACACACAAGCTAACCGGTAACAATCAGTAGATAAAGTCTCATCATAACACACATGATGACTTTTTTACTTCTTTTGCTCTTCCTTTTCTTCTTCATGTTATTACATTCTGATTCTGACAAGTAACAATTGCAATTCGGTTAACCTAACATGACTTGACCTTAATCATTCTTTACAGGTTTCTCCAAACTGCACAAAATCACACGCTTATTGAATTGAAAAAAAACAAGCAACTCTGATTATGATTAATTGTTGACTTGACACGGAAGTTTCTTTGTTACACTTTTTTCAGGTAAAATTTTCTTTGATAGATATGTCCTTCGAGCCTGGTTAACTTGAGCTTCGTATCTTTGATAATTCAATAAACATCCTATTAAATCCCAGAAAGAAAACTCTGGCCATAGTACATCGACAAAGGCATTGATAGTGAAACTTGATTGCCACAATAAAAAGTCACTTAATCGAACTACACCAGAAGTTCTTATCAACAAATCAGGCGGTTGGCTACCAGCAGAGTAAAGGTAATCGGTTATTAAATTTTCATTGATATCACTGCGGAAAGAAAACGATATCATGATTAAAATTTAGCTATAAAGCAATAATGGTTAATAATTTTCATACCTAATTTTTAATTTCGTATTTACAACTTCGTCTTTTATTTTATTCATTGCACCAACAATTTCACATCGCGATGAATATGCAAAACAAACATTTAAGTAAGCTCTGGAATGAGAAAATGAAAAAATTTCGATTAATAAAGATACATTTCAATAAATCAAGGATATTTACCTTTTATTGTCACGAGTCGCTGACATTATGAACGTGAACCTTTCTTGAATGTCATCTGGAAGAAGTTCAAGCTCTCCCCAAAATCTTACACAAATACCATGTTCATTGATCTTATCACTGGAGTAGAGAAACAGAAGAGAGAATGTCTAAATTAAGTTGCACTCGATTGCAATTATGGCCAAAATGGCATAGAGATTAAACTCACATTTCTTTAATCATAAGGTCAAATTTTTCTCTTGAAATTTCCATCAAATCATCAACCTCCTCTTGGCTTCGTTTGAAATTTTCAAAGCTGAAAGCGAATATAGTTATCTCCTTTACATCTAAAGCTTTACACCAACCAAGAATCTGAAAGAATCGTGTGGAAAAATAAAATAAAATAAATTTACTACAGTATAACATATTGAATAATATTGGATGGCTAATTTACTTGATATACAAACCTACTTTAGAAAGAGTATCGAAACCATGAAGATGGCCAGTTGACCGAGCAAGATGATTTTTCTTGGCATATCGCCTATTACCATCCATGATGAAGGCGATATGCCGCGGAAGTTTACCTCTTTTAACAATGTTAATGACGAATGATTGTAACCAATTGGTTCCTGATTCTTTGATCCAATACATATTTATCCTAAATAAAAAAACAGTGAATCAATTAGAGAATTCAATAACAGTATAACTTTAAATGTATTGCCGGTTTTGTGTTGAAAAATATTTCATTCAAACAATGTTTACCATTGATTGCTAAGCTTACCTTTAGTATTTGTTTATAGCTATGGTAACCAAAGTAAATGACACGAAATTGAATGGAATGAATTGAAGTTATTACTAGGATATTGATGAAAGATTATTCACACAACCGAATATTGAACAGAACTAACGAAACTTAACAGCGTTAAGAATACCATATATAATTAAATTGGTGCATAGTGAATAAGAGGAAAAATGGTATAGTGAACACACAACACATAAGTTAAGTACTTTGCCTCATTCAGATAGAATTGATGACGAACAGCAGATTTATAAGCATAGTTTAGTTTACAACAGGATAAAGATCATGATGATAAATAAATTGTTGATTAAATAATATCATAAATTCACAAAATTTTGTGAAAGACACGTAAACTTGAAAACACAAACAAAAAGACAGAGGAGGCTGGGCCTAAATTTTCCGCGGTTTTTACCAATGGTTTGAAAACTCAGATTGAACATAATATCAATCATCACGCTAAAAATATTACTGATAGAAGCGATAATTACAATTTTTCATAGATAATTTCTCAAAAAACGATTATTGTTACCTTAGAAGAACAAATAATAAGAAAATTGAGATTTTGAATACTTCAATCTTCAAAGAGTCTGAATTCAACTAAAGATAACATCAGATTAATTCGGATTATGATAATTCAAGAGCTTTTTGCCGATTTCTTTAGGCATATTTTATATCGTCTGAGGTAATTATGTGAGTTAGGATTATTATAAGGGGTCTATTACTCTTAAATTGGAACATATTTGAAAATGTTTTTCTGTTTTTTCTGAAAAAAGTTGATAACCAAGTGTTTACCTGGTTATTTAACAACAGATTGTGTTCGTCAATGACTTATTTACATATTTAACTATTCTGTGCAAGTAGTCTAATCTACCTAATTATTCAAAAATTAACATCGCAAACCAAGAAAATGTGTGTTGAGTGCATTTGATATGAAAAAGCATAATTGTTTGAAAACAAAGGTTACTTTAATTAGAAATTATTATTGTTATCTATTTGAACTTTATTTTACTAGTTCAAACATTATAATCTTCAATATGGCTTCCAATCCATTTCAAATAATGAGCGACATTGGTGTAAACTCCAGGAAAACCTGATTCAGCACATTTGTAACCAAATGAAACGACACCAATTTGGCTAACTAGACCAGTTTTTGGATCAGTATACATTAAAGGTCCACCAGAATCACCCTGTTAGAAGTTAGAGAAAAGTAAAGATTAGTAAAGTTCATTTTTCAAATAAACTCGAGTAAAATTTAAATGTTTCCACTCGAATAATACCTGGCAAGAGTCTTTGCCTTCTTCACTGGCACAAAGAAAACCTTCATTTACTCCATCAGGTAAAACGGATTTAGCTCCGTCCATTTTAGTATAATTACGGCTACATTCGTCTCGATCTTGAATAGTTACAGTTACTTCTCTTAATAACTTTGATGTCGATCCTAAATGATAAAGTGAAATATATGTGTATCGATAAATATCAGTGAATCAACTCCTTTTAACTATTTTACCTTCATAAGATGTTGTTCCCCAGCCAGCAACGGTAACTGGTGAGCCAACCATTTCTTTGGTATCGAGTTTTTTCTTAGTATCGAATGGAGGTAAACAAATTGGCTCTAGAACGTCGTCCATTTTAACAGGTTTTTTCAATTTAATCAAGGCAATGTCATGATAGGCAAGCCAGAATTTGTACTCTTCATGTGGATAGACAGCTTCAATTTCAAGTAAACTACCCGATTCATTGATATCAAATGATCCCAATTTTACTCGTAATTCAGTAGGCTTGACTTTTCCTGACGTTCGTGTAACGCAATGAGCGGCTGTTAGTACAAATTTCTCATTAATCAGGGCACCACCACAAATCAAGCGGAATCGATTATATGATTTTGACATTAAGCCAACCATCCATGGATACTTATTACGAGGATTAACAACTTGACCACCAACAATCGCTTTAATACTTGGCTGGTTTCCGCAACCTGTGATGGAAATAGAAACAGGCTGAATATTATCATCTATTTTCATTGAATAAACAAAAATTATGTAATCGTTTGAGGAGTTACCTTTATTAGGTGATGTTGGGAGGACTCCTGGCTTACTACTGAAAGGACAGCAAACTGGGTTAAATGAGAACGGTAAATTGTTTTTGTTACATTTCTTCAACGGTTCATTAACTTTTAATGTTGAACATTTCTCAATTGAAAGGATTTTGCAGCTTCCAGGTCTTCCATCGGACATTGTACATTCATTTTCCCGGAGAAGAGATTCCGTTAAAAGTACACCACTTAAAACTGTAATCTAAATCAATAGAAATAAAACAGTTGAATTAAAGCATATTAATCATCACAGAAACTTACCGGTCCGTTCAACCCTAATTCAATGAAAAAGGCTGATAAAGCTAGAAAAATCGCCGGTAGATACATAGTAAAGTATTACACTTTGAGAGAAATTGTTTTCAGGTAGAAAAGAAGTTGAACCTTTGATTTCTCAATTTAAATCAAAAGTGACTTTGATTATCATTGATAACCTCGCTTTTGTTGCTAGTTTATCCACCTAATTAAAGCCATATTTTATTCCAACTTGTCCAGATATTCATTTTAGAATTAATTTACTTGTTAACTCGATTAAGCACAAATGGTAGCCACAATATGAAAAAGTTCATAATTCTGGCGTAATTGTTTTACTTTCATTACAAAAAGAGAGATGTCTGATGAAATCACAAATCTATTCTTTATATCATTCATATCTTAATTTCATTCGTTTCGCAATCCAAAAAATTAAATATATTGAAAAAATCAATGTTATGAATGATTGACTTTTATTAATGGAATGATTAATACTCAAGTATAAAATGGCGAGAATATAAATGACTATTTTAAACAACATTAAAAAGAAATGAAAAAATGGCAGAGAAAATAAATTCATTAGTTTTATGAATAAATTTTCTTGAAATTCATTTTTTCTTCAACAGGTTTCCAAATGCCCATCTTCTATTAGATTCTGGAAGAGAAGTTCAACAGGCCTTTGATCATCATCTGCAATCCATAATTCTACATCAAACGGCATTCGCATAGACTAAATAAAAATAAAAATAATTATTAAGATAGAATCAATGTTAAAATGTTCACTCAAACTTTGTAAAATGATTACAAACTTTAACTTTAATCACGTAACTGGAACCAGCAGAATCCTCCACTGCCCTTTTCATCATATCAAATAATCGCTTTGTCCAGATACCATTTCTAGCAGGTCTGATGTTTGATAGGCGCACAAAGAAACCAAAAATAGGACGACCTCTGAGTGAAAGATCATCTGGTATTATTCTCATGCTGAAAGAAAGTTTAAGGAGTATTAATGAATTATCAACAATAAACTAAACAATTTAATTTAATATCCTTACTCTTGTAATTTAATTATATCAGAGTTTCCCCAATCGACGAAAAAAACTTTGTATTGCGCTCGAGTCTCAACTACGTCACTAACAATTCCTCTAAACCATTCACCATTCCAAAGAGCACAGCACGAGGAACCTTAAAATACAAATAAATTTGAGAATACAGAATTTTCAAAAATAAAAATATTATAATATTATAATACTTACCAACGGGAAAATCAACAGCTTTTTGGAAACCCCGATATTCCGCTTTGATACGATCTTCATCTTGTACAAATTTGTTACAAAGATCATTGATATCCTCTTTTTCAGCAGAATCGACATTTGTAAACCATGTTAACTGTAAGCATAAATAATTTTCAACGGCCAAATCACCTATAATCACAGGATAAAATATATCCGGCGAAAACTCATAACTAGGAAAACTGTATTGACTCTTTTCCATCAACTTGAGAGATGTTTGAATATAATGAGGATGATCCTCCAGCACTTCTTCTGTTTCTTCTATGAGATCGTAAGCAAGTAATTGGCTTTTTAAATCACTATTTTCTTCTTCCAGTTCAACTGATATTAGCATATCACGATCAGATTTGAAATTCTATGAGAAAAAAAATTAGAAATTCAACATTTTAGAGATCATCAAAAACTTAAAAATTATATACTGACCTCCCAATGAACTCTGATAACTTTACCAGAAACATGTTCATTAAGATAACTTTTTAATAATTGAGCACCTCGTGGTCTTTTGGAGAAAGTTACACATTTGTACAATTTACCGAACAAGGCCAAACCAGGAATCCCTTCACAGAAAATTTCAGAGCTCAGATCTTCAATGAAATGATCTCTTTTAGCTCCTGTATCTATATATAAAACATTTATTTTATTCCCAATATTTTCCTGTATTGTTCCTCTCCACCATCTATTATCATTATAAACAATGCAGGCTCGTCCAATATCAGCATTTCCTTTGAAAGTTTCAAATTTTTCTTTTTGAATCAAAGCACGTAGTATGACCTTATTTATTGTACCAATGTTCGGATCCTTAGGTGAATCACTTTTGATTGTAAACCAAATGGCAGGCCCCTCATCGACAGAAGTACAAATAGCACTAAAGTCTGCTGAGGCGGGTTTTTCAGCTTCCATATATTTAATTGCTTCAGTCGCCTGATCGTCACTATAATACCCTAATTTAAGAGTACTTATTGATGAATCGTCTGAAAAATGTTGCGGCATTTTTCTATCGATATATTTGGAATCATCATCAGCCTCAATTTCTTTGTCGTACTGTAATTCATCACTGAATGCAAAGAAAATAAAATAGATTTAGATAAGATACAGACAAGATATAATTTGCAAACAGAAATATAAACATTTAATGAAATCAATAGGAATATAATGTGAAATATTTATAAAGCATGAAAAACATTGAAAATAAATGAAATATAAATTTAATTCAAAAATGGGTTACCTGAGCATTCGAGCAAAATTGCATTCGATAAGTTCATATCTTAAAGAAAAATAGTGATCTTCAGCTGGTTCAAAAATAGAAGGCGCTTCGTGAGTTTTAAAAATTAAATCAACAGGTATCTTTTGAGGCTGATTTTCATCTAAAATATCTTCTATTTTGATGAATAATTCGATGGTTGGTTTAGCTAAAATCTCTTTGCAGTGTTCAATTGCTCGAGATGACCAAGTGTTATCAGCAGGTTTTATACCAGCGATGAAACATTCAATACATTTTTCACCGTCTCTGCGTAAATGGTGTGAAGGAGGAATACAACGCATATATTTTCGTTGAATTTCAACATCAATCCCGAAATCTCGATCTCTTAACTTGTATTTTGAATCTCCAGTAACTTGGTTTTTTGCCCTTGGGTCTGATGAAGATTGTTGTAACCCTCCGCCAATAAACTCTTGTACTAATCCTCGCCTCCATATAGCTGAATGTAAGTGTTTTGGTCTGTATAGATACATGCATACTTCGCCAACTGGAAAACCTTGATAAGCTGATGAATTTGGAGTAGTAACGTCAACTCCTGAGTATTCTTCATCTAAACGTTTCATGAAATTTCCAATGTCAGTACGTACTTCAGGAGAATTAATTTGGATAAAGAAAGATCCAGGCGAGTTGAAACTGGTAACTCTCACTTGAATCAATGAGTCAATTGTAGTAAGATGATATCTTTTGAATTTGCTCACCATTTCACGAAGTAAATTATAACAACTGAAATTGTACTTATTTACTCGATTTGGTGAAGATCGACTAGCTAAAGGATTAGTGTTGTTTGCATCATTGTTAGTGCGTAGAACAGGAGTCGGCTTTACAGCGAATCCATTTTTAATGAGAATATCATTTATAATACCATCTTCGTCACCATGAAAATTGTGTATCGTCAGAATTACATTATGCATTTCAGCAGATTTATCTACCACGATAATACTGGTCAGTATATTTACTGCTTGGAAATAACTTTGAAATTCTTTGATTGCATTTGCACCCCATGATCCGACCTTAGGCTGAATATTGGCGAGAGAACATTTAAATGCTTGTATAGGAAATTTCACAAATGATTCTGGAATAATTCGAAGGTCTGAAAAGGTAACGTTAACATGCTCTCCATAATCAACAGCATAAAAGACAATTCTTTCAGCTGAACCATCGCTTTTCTTTTCAATACTTGTTATAGAGCCACGACGAAACGTTTTCTCCTTTTTGTTTTTATCAAAAAACAATGCACAACGAGCCGCACATGGAAAGCCAACTCTGGGGTAATATAGACGATATGCGACACTCAATATTGGATCTTTATATTTATCAGCCAGTTTTGCCTCTAAATTATCAATTTCTTGTCTTTCTCGAGCACTATTGACATAAAAGTGATTTGGGGTTTTTATGTACGTAACATCAACGGAATGAGCAGGACCAGGGCTGAAACCCGGTGGTTCTTTGAAATTTTTGAGAAGATGTGGATCTCTGTAAGGGAATGCTCTTCCGTCTCTCAGTTTAGCAACATTTGCATAAATTAAATACTCAATCAAGGTAGGCTGGTGACTACAGGGTTCACTGATATTATGAACTACATCCACATCGTAAGTATAAGTTTCACTATTTGGTTCAGATAGTATCAATAATTTAACTGTGATATTGTTTGGGCAAAATTGAAGAACGTACTTTCTGAAAGCAGAGGAGTCAGCTTGGACATTTTGTAAGCGACATTTCCAAACTTTGAGCAGCCTTGGATAAATATTAATGTCACTTAATTCAGCAGTAGATTCACGCAGATTTTCTAGACGTGTTTTATAAATCTCATTATTATAATCAGTCAACAAAACCGCAGCTCTTTTTGGCTTAAAACTGTGTGGCAATAGACAAAAGTTTTCTTTTTCAGATTTGTCTGGACATTCTTCCAAACGCGTTAGCTTTGCACGAACCCATTCTTTTTTTTGATCATGCCAGACAATATAAGAGCTTTGTGGTTTGATTTTTGAACTGATTGGTGGATGGAGGAAAACGGAAATTCGGCTGTTAATTGCTTTGTTAAGGGATGAAGAAGCCGATTTATCTATTGGCAAATGAGCGTCAAAGTATCCAGAATCTTTTACATCATGGATAGTAGCAAGTTGTTGTTTTATAAAAGGTATATGCATTATTGACGTTTGAGCAGACTTTCTCGATATGTTGAGTTCATGTACAGCAGGAGTATTAGGTGTATTAGGAGTATTATAAGCCCCTGGAGTAGATATAAGAGGAGCAAATGCAATCTTCACTTCAAAATTAACAGCTTTACTAAAGTCAGTTAACTTTACGATGGTCTCTCGTATTTCATCATGCGGCTTATTCAAACTAGACAAATAATCTGGAATCTCGTCAACTCTTTCAATTTTGAGTCGTTTAGGGCGAATAGAAGCGATTTCATGTTTCACCGGATTACCCGATTGAATGAAGGCGAATTGAGGGGATCGTAAAATTTGGTTTTTGAGATGACTACGTACTCCATCGACTTCTTTCTCCTTGGCTGCCAATGTTTTGATATTATTATTTTTAGACTTTTTAAGTTCTTTAACAAGATTGGCTTCTTGAAGCTGTAATAAGCCATGCAATATATGAAATCTTTTTCTAATAGCTTCTTTCGTTGAGACATACTTCTTATTAACAGCAGCCTTTGCGTCAAACAAATGCTTTAAAGATTTACCACACAGACGATACATGGAAACAGCATCGTTAATAATTGCTTTGAAATTATCTGGAGCATTAGAGATTTTGGCAGGAATAGAAGTGACTTCGGGCTCATCTCGATATGAATGTACTGAAATGGTAGGTATTTCCGCCTGTCCCAATTCTTTTAAAATTATGCATAGAAATGGGAAATAGATAGAACGAGTTTGAATCATGCAGATGAAATATGAATTGGTGAAATACCAATGAATACTTACCATCAAGATCAACGACAGGAGTAGATGAAACCGAGATTCGTCCTGAATTAAAGGCAGCACCAATTGAAAATGCTTCATAGTTGAGATCATCTGCTCCATCTTCATTCCAACGAACAATAGGATTCAATTTTGGCTTATTATTTCTAACTTTATCAATGGTTCGCTGGGAGAAGCTTGTTGTTTTACCACAATCATCACATTTGTAAAAATTTTGATTCTTGACAGCAATACCATAGATACATTTTTCACAGATAGAGTGTCCACAGGTGAGTAGAATTCTAGCATTGAAAGGGATTTCTTTTTCTCTATCATTTAAGATTACTTCATTTGCAACACCGGGGTTGTAGTCGAGATTTTCTTCACAAAATTTATTAACACAACGATACAAAGACATGACTGTTTGAAACAGGAAAGTTCAACATCTGAAAGCGAAAAATTACTGAAAAAGGAAGCAAAAAGATGTTAAATTGACTAGACAATTTAAATAAATACACATCGTTCAATGGGTAAATTAAATTAAATCTTTACTCGTTAATCCTCAACCAAAAGAGAGGCAAACAAAACCGGTACATTTATCAAAAGCATAACGAGAGTTCCTACAAAAATTGAGAAGCGCCAAATTTAACTTGGAAAAAAATCTAATTTGACTTTTTTAACATTAAAAGTTACAATTGGCCATTTTTTAATTATTCATTTTTTTCTGCCAACTCACATACTTTAATGTTAACCCATTTAACAATATTTAAATTTTCTAAAAGTGATTAACAATTATTTTTCTTATTTCTAATGAATTCAGCCTGATTTAAAACATAGTTCCTCTTTTTTCCACCTGCAAGTTACTAGGTTACCTTTAAATCTGTTGATTGTTATTAATAATTATTACAGTGCTCTTTTTAATCATAATTGACTAATCTCTGAATTTTAAAGCAGTAAATAGTCAACTATAATTACCGAAAAATCTATAGGTTCTTAATTAAAGCTAAAAGTGATAAAGATTACTTTCGCCACTTCTTCAACATATGATTGACTCTTTGTTTATTATTCTTCTGTGGCTTTCTCCTTTATAAATTAAGCTAAACCATGTGGTTTTATTCCTGTTAAGAGGTGTTTATAAAGTTGTTTCATTTTTCCAATTTCGTGCAAATTATTTAAATCACCATTTCAATTTCTTATCATTGTGATCGTTGATTTCTTTTAATTAATCATCTTAACATTACAAGCATTGGGCAACTTGATACGTAAGTACACTGAATGGATAGGCTCGCAGCCCCTTAGTAAAATCACTCTTATGATTAGGCCCTATGTTTGACTAATATCAATAATAATCATGTTGCTATCCTTAGCTAAATGTTTATTTAGTGTGATCGTTAGCTAATCTCATTGGGCTTAATCTTGAACTGAATGGCCATTGCTTTCATTGTCTTAGAAAGTGTCTTTTGGTTGGTTTTGCATTTAACCTGCTTAGAGATTAATAATCTTTTGTGTTTTCTATATTTTAGATTTGTTGCTTGCAATGGATTCATACAATTGGGACGACTATTGTGGATCCAAATTGAAAAAAGGTGCTTTCTAAATTACCAATGGATAATAACTTCTGAATTTACTGAATAACTTCTTTTATCTTCCCTACAGTTGTTGATAATCTCATCAAGGATTCACTTACAAATTTAATTTCACTTTCTCAGGATCAGTGTTTAATGACCGAAATAGCAATTTTTAGAAAAAATTTGGAAAAAATCAGTATTAGGCTGAGAAATGCGAAAGTTAGTTCACTTCTCAAAAAGGTATGTCTATAAACATATGTTCACCAGGCAACTTTTAAACTAAACTTTTTATTTTTAGGTACGCCGTCTTATAAATCAATATCTAGAATTAAATATAACCGAAATCCTGGAAAAAGAGTGCAAGGTTTTTCTCAGGTACGTCTTCATCCCTTACACATTGTCCAACATCTTACATCTGTGTTTTTTTATCTAGCTTAAAGTACGATGGTAACAAGTGTATCGAGTTACCGAAAGGAGTTGCTGTGATAACAGTTATGAAAGAGTTGAGGCATTTAGCTGATATACTTGACAAAATCTGTAAATATTCATCCTATGCTGTTAGTCATTGTATGCTTTGGCTGAGGCTTGGACATATGATTCCACATTTTGTTGTTGCACTTTCCACAATCTCACGGTTAAAGTATGTGGTTTAATTTACTTCCACAATTTGTTTGCCTATTTAATTGAAATTTCCGTTTCTCTTGTAGTGTTATTTGTCGAGCTCTGTTGATTTACGTCGCCGATCTACATGGTGGTCTCATCGAATTTTGCAAAATATGTAAAAACAATGAATTACTTGATGTTAGTATCTACTTTTTGATTCTATTTCGCCAAAAACTCATTTTAATATTTCTTACCTCCATCCATTCTCACAGGAAAGTGATATATCAATCCCTGATGGTCCGTTAAGAGATCTGGAAGCAAAGTGTTTAGGTCAACTTGATGACGAAGAAGACATTCTCATGGTTGAAGATATCGGAGAAGCTCTTAATCGGAATGATATTGACAGACTCACGTCTGTATCAAAGATACCGCAGGGTAACCCCGATTCTGAACTGACTAAAAATCGTAGCAAAATGAGGGAAAGGCATTTGCCGAGTCTGACGAAATACAAGTCATTTGAAATCATGAAACTAATGAGCAGAAGGACAAAACTAAGAAAGATCAAGAATAAAGTAAACTCTTTGTTGAGTAGATAGGTGAGGTAAATTTTTAAATAAGACTATTTATTATGTAACCAAAAAGTAATTCAAATAATTAGCTTATTTATTTAAATTTATATAATTTTGCTTTTTGTAAGTATATGATTAAAAAATAATCTAATGCTATTTTTCTTTTTTTACTTAGAATCTATCCAGTCATTAAATTATGAATAGGAATTGAAGTCAAGAAACCATAAGTCTGTAAAAACGTATAATCGAATCATTATTATTCTCAAGTTTTGAATCGAAAATTGGCTCATTGGTTGCAAATTAAACTTAAAATAGAATGATGTCTATCGGATATTATCAACCAAAAGCAGTTACTCTTCATTAGTCCGACTTAAAATTTATTTACTATTTTGTGTACAAAATTATTCTTTGCATTTTTGTATTCTAAAGATTTGATACCTTTGTATTAAGAGAATTAGATAAACGTATCTTTCCTCGAAAATTACATACTCAAATTGAAAAATGGATCTATCAAGTCTGAAAATAAAAGAATGCAAACAGCCGTAATGTTTTTAGATCAATTGAAGCTTATTTCGTGTACCAATAGACTTTTTATACCAATCTAAAGTTCCAGAAATGAATTAAAGACTAAAGCTTATGCAAATGAAAACAAAATTTTATTGTATGGATAAATTGATTCCAATTAAATCAACAATTATATAAACATGCTGAAATAGCAACAAAAAATCTGGTTTTTCAACTGTAGTTTTCATTAATCTTGAAAGTTTCAATTAATGTCAAGCAATTTAACATTTTAAATATGTAACAACAAGAAAGTTGATTACAAAAATAAACACATTGTGATTGTATTGATTGTTTTAAAAACCACAAGTGGATCTCACAGTTTTAACCATAGCGTCTGCTTTCATTTCTTCGCATTTCTTTTCAATTTCTGCTAAGTGTTTCTTTCCACAATCTTGACACTTCTTGGATTCAGCTTCGTACGCCTTCACTTTGTCAGGGTTGCTTTTCTTCATTTCTTCATGTTTCTTTTGCATCTTCTGTTCCCACTCTTTCATGGACAATTGTTCCTTTTCCTCGGCGAAAGTCTTTTTGGCTTCTTCTTCATCCTCTGTTTATTTGGAGACAAAATTAAAACAAAATCATATTTAACATTTGCTAATCCAATAATTAAACCTTACCTTTGGCCATGGTCATGACTTTTTCACAATCTGGTGTACAGCTTTTCTCCAGTTCTGTTCCCTCTGTAAAAATTTAAAATCAATGTTAATCAATATCAACGCACACAACGAAAGCGAAAATTGTATAAGAAGTAAACTTACTGAAGGCATCCATGATCATCTCAGCCGATTTGCTTGCTAAATAAAAAATTAAATAATGAAAACAACTCCATCATATGTTTCGCATATTTAGGATATCAATTACTTACCGGCACACATTGCTTGATTACCATCAGCTTTAGCATCTGCCATTTTGGCCTCTAGAAGATGAAAATGAGAGTTTAATATTTTACAATCATTTTACATTAAAAGTGATCTATCTTGACTTCAAAATGTTGACAAAAATTTACACTAAAATTTTAAATTTCAACTTACTTGCTTCGTTTGCTAATGCAGCACATTTGCTCACTTTACCAGCAACAGCACCTCCGATATCGGCGTATGTTAAGGTGGCACACAATGCTAAAAAGCAGAAAATTGAAGTCCATTGAATCATCTTGAGTTGAGGAAAGTTAGATTAATGTTACAGCTCAAACTATCTGATCAAAATAGTCTACTCTGAATTTTTTTGATTCTGTCAACCCTTTTATATTAATTGGCTGCTATTTGAATAATAAGCAAACTGTAAAATTAATGTTTTGCCCTTGAGATTATTAAATTCATGCTGTAATTGGGATTGGAAATTGTTTTAAATTTCGTCTTCATCTATTTACGTTAATAGACAGTTGTTTCAATATCGTCTTTCAGATTAATTTATAAATTATCATATTTTGAAATCTTCATTACATAGTTGAACCAATTTTGCGTTTACTTTTAATGATTTACAAAAAATAATAAGGAAAAAATGCTTTTTAATGTTCAATGTTTACTATTGCGTTTATTATCAATAATGAAATTAATGATTCTTAGCTCTTTCTATTTGATTAGAGATTGTTAATTTAACCTACTTGGAATAGTTGAATAATTTGACAGACGATTTGATTCATATCAGTTATTCATATTCAGTTGATTGAATTGATTCAGAAATCAATTTCTTCTTAAAATTTCAGTTTTCAATAGTCCAAGAGTTGATTACTCACAAGAAAAGAATCTTCATTTCAATTGTCTAATCTACTGATCTTTTACAGACTTAATACGTAGTTTTGATTGTTAAAATGTTTGAGGGAAATTGAGACAATTAAAGTATTTTGTCTGAGATTTTCAACTTGATTTTGCGATTGATTATGTCTTTGGCTGCCAATTTTATGCTCACACTATTAATACTTTGTTCAGCTCAAAATCCACTGATTGATAAATTACCACACACATAGTTCAATTAATAATCAGCTATCAATCATGAGCTTATCATAAAGCTCAATTGTATCTCAATTGCTTTCAATAGGAAATCATTAAAGTATAAGAAGGTTAAGACTTTGTTTTGATCTGAACTGATTATGATCTTCTTATTCGTCTTTTACGTTATCCATTTGATCAATGAAAAAATACGTTTGAGTTTATTGACAATTTCGGTACTGATTTAATAGCACATGTGAATTAGATTATTTTTATTATTTTGTCGTCGTCGGTTGGTTTACATATTAAAGATAAAACGATATATTTGTGAGATTTAACTTTCTCAGCTTTAAATAAAATGATAAATTGTTCATTTATTACATTATGAAAAAGATTCCAAAAAATCGATCAGCACGAAAGCAGTCTCCTAAATATTAATTCAAGATTCAATTTTCGAGTCATCAAGTGCATGCATCATTGTCATCATGCGGCAATCAAGTGCCAGTCGATTCCTAATCACCACTGATTACTGTTACATCTATTTGTAAACGAGGCTGGAGCGAGATCGGCTCTTTCCACCACTTAAATTCACCAAACTCACGAAATTCTTCTCCACTATCGATAATCGGGAATTTCATATCAACTATTTTCAAAAGTTATTGAAATCTGGTGGGAAAGATGAGTGGAAAAAGCCCTTTAAAAAGTGATGGAAAATAAAGTGGTAAATGTTGTGGAAAAAGTCGACGTCGAGGGAAACCGAGTGTTTTATCACATAACTTCGAGATATGGTTTAACTATATGAGATAGCACTGTTACGGGAGTCTATTATTATTAATACAATAAATTCCAGTTCAAATGATGCTGTTTATCTAACTCTTAAAGTTAAAACTAGTTGATTATTTTTGAGACGCTGTGTATTGTTGACAGTTAAATACTTCCAATTAGAAAATAACAACTCTATTGAGTTACATTTTTATTGAGTTAACAAAACGAGATTAATTTACAATTTAATGATTCGACATCGTGAGACGCTAGCTTATGAAAGTTGTTGATGCCGTAAGATGATTTCAGAGTAAACTTTTAAGGTACATTATATGAACAATATCAATCCTCACAAGGATTATAATCAACAAGGAACACTGGACTGAATGAGAAATTGCGTGGGAAAACATGAGTCATGAAATCAAATCCTTCTTTAATATGCCAAGTTCCCGTTTGCACAGAGACACTTTCGTAGTCATCTTCGTATGGTCTTACAATACACGTTATACGTTGACGATGGCGCCAAAAGAAACACGAAGCAATATTTTCAGCCTTGATTGAAGGTCCAGAAGAAAATGAATCGTTTCCTGACGATGGAGTAGTTTTTACCTTGATATCGAGTAGCTTTAAATTGAAGGACCATTGAAGAGCTGCGACAATTAGGTCTTCAGTCAGATTGTGTACATTTCGAAGGCCCAAATTTTTTAAATTAGGAAACATTCTAACAAGTTCCATGAAGCATACCCAATCATCCAATTTACAGTGCGAAACCTAAGGAAAATAAGAAAATATCAGTCAACAAGTGCCATTGTTTTAAGTAAAGCTGATAGACTTACCCAAGATTTACTTATTTCTATGATAAGGTTTTCAACAGTTTCAAAAAACCTGCGATTACTTGAAAGATCATCTAAATTATAATGTCCGCCTTCAATTTGGAGGAATAAACTTTTCAAGTTTGGACAAAATAAGAGTAAGTGAGTTAAATGATCAAACATGGACTCGACTGCAAAAGAAAGCTCCAGAATCTCAAGTTTGTACAAGACAGGTCCACTATAAGCTAATAATCGAGGATAGATGTTTTCCCCTAAATAATTGAAAGAAAAGTTAATATTTGTTGTAATCACAACTAAAAAAATCAAATTTCTTTACATCATTTACGTATCAATAATTCATTAATCTATACTAACGGTCATGATAGAGCATATGAAGTCGTCGTAGGTTCCAGAAACGTGGTAATATTATTGCTGGGGACCAATTTTCATTGGATATATACAATTGGCTAAGAGATTGGTGGCAGCAGTAAAATAGAGTTGTGTGTGTCAGTGCAAATGGCTCCTCAAAGATTGCTACCATGTCTATATTGGTCAACTGAACTTCAGGTATATGAGCTGCTCCTTGACTTCTGTTATATTTAGGGTACCAGAAAAAGCCTACAATATTTGTCTTTGAAGCGATACATCGAAGAAGAGCTTCCTCTTCGTCTCTTGTATCAGGCCTACAAACCTCAATCACCTGTTGATTAAAAAGATAGAAAAAATATTTTAGATAGGATAACAGAATAGAGGATATACTGAAGACCGGAACTTGACCATACCGATATTTACCATTAAATTGGGAAGCCATTCAAGACATGTTTTTAAAATTTCAGGATGAGATCCATTTTCGTGGAGAAACAAGAAACTTGCTTTAGGGATGCATATTAGCCCTGGAAACAGAAAAGTAAAGAACGGAAATTAATGTTGGAAGCTAAAGCATAAGAATGGCGAAAAATTGTAAACATTATTATGGTTTGAAAGATATTGCCATGCATTTGTAAGAGCTATCAAGATTATTATATGGAAGTTTAACAATGTTCAAGGTTTTCAAGAACTCCACTTCAAGTGGTATCTTGAAGAGAAAAGTAATTTTACTAGTTCTCTATATCATTAAAAAAGTCTCATGCATTGGACACATGATGAGTTAATAAGAACCAATGGTTTAAGGGTTTATTATTCTGTGAATTTACCTTCATCAAGCAAATGTCCACTGTCAATTGACCATTGGTCTTGTAGTAAATATTTTACCATAGATAACCTCGTTGCCATTATTCGTCTCCATCGTCTGCAAACTAGACAAAAGATACACCAGATGAAAGTAAGAGAACAAAAAATCACATTAAATGAAATAAACATTGGCATAAGTAGATAAAGAGGTGAGTAACAAGATCAAACAGACAAAAGAGGGAAAACTGTTAACTAACCAGCAGCCGCCATCATTGATCCTTCAAGATTGATGGTTGCCTCGATTAATATTTTTTCCAATATTTCATCTGGAAGATGATTTATACCGATTTGTCTTGGATGGATTATTATTCGATTACAATGTAAATAAACATAACATAAGAAACGATGGAAAAGGAAAGATAAAGATAAATTATTTATACATTTACCGCGTACATAAAAAGTCTATTTTGTAAATATTTATTGAAAATACTTCATCTAAAATGAAGATGGCTCCAAATAACGCTACTTACCTTTCATCGTAATTCATCTGAAATATTTTTGGTGTCATTTCACAGTTAAAGGAAAACAAATCACACAGAAAAATCTTAAATATTTAGTTTGAACTAATCAAGGATAAAGGGTTGTCACTGAATGATGGATTGGATAACTTAAAGTTGACTGTTTATAACTGGGAGGTCAACGTTAAATAAGTTTCATTCATTTTTCGTTTCGAGAGGTTTATCAAAACTTAATAGGAAAAGTTTATTGAACTGCCATCTATCAAGCCATAATTTAAGCTTAAGATAAAACCTTCTGGAAGACACATGAAAATTCATGGAAAGAAAGCAAATTAAAAATTGGTTTAACTTATATTTGATTGCTCTTATTTTTCAAGTTCATGGTTTTTCCAAACCATCTTTTTAGTCACCAAATATAAGTTTAGTTGAAACCTTTTAAATTACAACATTGCCCATTCAATGGGAATTAAAGTAACAAATTTGAATATCTAAATGATTATAAAGTTGTGTCTTTTTTCAAATAAATCGGTAAAAATGGAAAACATTTTCTCAGCCAATTATCCATATTCCAAGGTAATTTGTATATGTGAAAAGTTTCAGATGATACAACTCCTGATCTAAGGTTTCTACCATGTAAACCTCTTTCTTTACGAGTTCCAGGAACAGTATTGTCTAAGATAAAGCCAATTATACCGGTAACTAGCATCCCGTTTGAGAGTAAGGTTTGAACAGTCTCGTTGTTCAAAAGCCAGGATAAACTTTGAAAATTGTTATGCATGTTGCTAGATTTAGCTGTGAAAAAGGTTGGAATAGTTGATCCTAAGGTGACTGAAATTCCTAGAATGTATAAATTTCGAGGTGATTCGAAGTCAATGTCTTTAAGAATATTGAAACCAACCGCAATGATGATGGAAGTCATGACGAAAAATACACCACCCATAACTGGATCAGGTATGGAAACAAATATGGCAGATAATTTACCACAAAAACTAAACACGATAAGCCAAAGACCAAAGACTTGAGTAACGCGACGACTGGCAACTTTGGTTATCGTAATAGTTCCAATATTTGAGCTGTAGGAACTAAGTGCTGTTGGAGCACCCCAAAGAGCTGAAACAATACTGCCGATGCCTTCAATAAATACACCACGATTTATAACAGCAATTGGTGGTGGTGGACAATTGGATACAGCAGAGCAAGCATAATAATCACCAATGTTATCCGACATTGACGTCAGCAGACCAGTAAAGGCAACTAAAATTGCAGATAATGAAAATATTGGTGTGCCCCATTCAAAAGGAGTTGGAATCCTGAGCCAAGCTGAATCTGAGATTGGATTACCAACAATTTTATCCGTTCGAGCTGGATCATCTTCTTTGAATAGATTGAATTGTGTTCCCATCGAGCAAACAAACCAAGCAATTAAAATAGACAGGAGAATCTAAAAATTTTCAGATAAAAAGAGATGAAAATTTAGACAGGTTTCAACAATTCATAATCATTAAATTAATTCAAAACATTCTTTGCCCAAATCGTTCTAAAAATAAATTAACATAATTGCAATTTACTTTTCGTAGAATTGACTTTACTACTATCACTACTAATTATATTGGTATCTACTAAAATCGCTTATTTTGATTAATTAAATGAAAAAAGTACTTGAATATATTCACTAATGACTAAATTTAAATAAATTAGTTGATCATTCATATCAATTTAAAATAGCAGCATCAAACTCGATTGGGTGAGAATGGAATCAAGTTTCCAATTTGACATTGGGTTTTTGTAGCTAAATTGTTTGTAAGTTGACAAAATAAGGAAATTTGTTTACAAAATTATTTTCAAATGAACTTTCCAATGTGGATTGAAATACAAGTTTTCATTTATCGCCTCAAGCTTGAAAGATAAATTCTTGATAATCGCTAAGTTTAATCTTAGTAAAGATGTCTAGTCGTTATAATTATATTATTTGTGAACTTACACCAAACATTTTAAAAACATAAAAACTCCGAAATCTACGATTATTTCGAGATTTTGATATTCTTGGTATCGGGATAAATACATTGGTCATGTATTGCGATAGTATTGTGATCATAATAATTGTTCTGGTGGATGAAAAATGGATAATTGATTAAATAGCGTCAAATTATATCATTCACATACAACAAAAGCAATTCAGTTCAAGCAACTTTGTAAATGAAGACACTTCAGTAACATACATACATTGAGATGCTGTAGGTCAAACTAATCAAAGTTACTTACAATCCTGATATGATCCAATTTTGGCCTGCCTTTTCAGCAGCCATTGGTGTCAAGGAAATACCAAGTTGTACCACAGTTGGGCCCATTGTTAATGGGGTAATGTAACGAAATAAAAAGCCAACTAAACCGGTTAAGCCGATGACTACTTCAGTTAATGAAGCAACCAGAATAGAACCTTGAACTATTCGAATTCTTTGTGTCCAAGCTTCGTGATATTCTGGACTATCCATCGGTATTGTTCCATTAAATTGTTTTCTTAAGATTGAGCATGTATCATTTGATGATTCAAAGTAAGCAATAACAGGTAAAAGAAAGTAAAAAGCAGTTCCTTGAGCAACAGGTAACCTAATGTAAAAAAAGTTAGAGTTTAAAAATTGAGGTAATTCAAGAAACAAGGAACTATTAAAATGTTGTTATTTCATCATATAATTGCTAACGTAATGGAAGATGCATGATCATTACCTGACTCCAAATGTAGCCATGAGAAGAGACGCAAAACCAGCAACAAAAAAACATGTTGATAATATGTGTCCTCTTACAGGATCATTGTCGTCAATGCAAAGATGAGGTGAAATCATATAAACATAGGCCATAAAATTCCCAAATTCTGCTATAAAATTCTGTTAGCATCATAAAAAGACACGGGTTGTGGTGATAATGGCTGGTTAAACACACAATGCTGCAATACAGTGTAAATTGTTTTCGATAGGTCAGACATGGCAATTAGGAATCACGACAAAATGAAAAAGCATAAATTAACACAAAAACCTTAAATTTGACTTGAATCGTAACTGATTTTAGTGTCTTAATAAATAAAATTACCTGAAATCCTAGAGCCAAGGTAATTCCAAATGAAGGTTTAGCAGTAACACCATAAGCAAGCCTGTTTCCTTGAGAGGCATCCTCCTGAAATGATGACCGATCCAAATAAAATGTAGTCGTTTTTGAAATTACCATGATGTTGACCAAATAATCTAGTCTTAACAGCAGATGATTAAAGATCTTAATTGTTAACAATGGCAATCACAATCATAAATAACAATTGAGTTTAAGAAATAAAAATGGAAGCATAAGATGTTAATAACATGTTGAGCTATCAAGGCCTAGTAACATTGACTCAATTTGCAATTGGTTTACTTATCTCCCTATTAAGAAAGGCGCTAAATGGTTACTTTGCTCCAGATTTTGTCATCAGCTCTTCCAACTCACCGCGCAAATTATTTTTGTTTAAAATTAAAATTGAAAATTGAAATAATGCTAAACATAATGCTTCTATGATTTTTCATAAATCAATCAAAGAGCATTTTCAGATATTTTCAGATTTGATGTGACAACTCTATCTACACCATGCAATTGAAAATGATTTTTACACATGCATACATAACAATAAAACATTTGCATATTTTGATGATCACAATTTAAACTGATAATATTGTAAATTGGATAGGTTCATGAGTGTCAATAGCTAAATAATAAAGAGACTTTTTCCTAAATATTAATAACTAATATTAGAGGAAGCTCAAAAGGGACCTAATAATTTCCGAAGGACGTCAATTCAAATTCAATGATCTGTAATCACCGAAAGCTAATGATAGCACAGTAAAAATCATTAGATAAATTTTTGAAGCCTGTTTTTACCAAAGGCTGATTAATGTTTTGTTTTATTATTGCTATTCATTTCAAATTCTGTAGTAATCTGCTTGCGTCAAAAACCAATTTAAAAATAACGTTAACCAGCCTTAAGGCAAACTATAGCAAGCAGGTAATTTGGCTATTTACAAATCACCTCAAACATGTTCAATTTAATAACTTCAAAAAAAAATAAAACCTTGCTAAATTAACAACCAGATGATAAAACTAAGACTTTGGTTAAAAATGTCGACTCCAACTTCGAGCCCATCAGTGAGCGAGACAAACGGGTTGAGGCTTAACTATTGATAAAGTAACTGGAAGACTTGTTTTTCATTTTGTGGATTAATTCATGATTATTATTACTAGTAAGAGCCTGCGACTTGAAATCTCTGCAACTTGAAACCTTTCATTCAAAGTGATTATTCAGTGAATGCAGTTTGTTTCACTCTAGTTACTTTTTACTGTATTTTTTGGTGCAACGGTTAACTTTTGACAAACGCTATGGATTATACTAAAGCACTTTCCAACTCTAAATTATTACAAATTG